TCTTGAGTGTGTCCCTTATGGGTGCGAGGAGTTGACATCTGCAGTTTGTTGGGTTAAGCTGTAAAAGCGCCGGTGGTTCCTTTTGTGCCTCTGGCACAGCTTGGGCGGGGATGTAAATTGAGTAGGGTGGGGTCTCAGGGAGTCACCAGGGCGGAGCAAACAGCAATGGCGTCTCCGCGACTCCTCGCCTCTCTGTGACTCTGCATCTCTGCATCCCCAAGTGCTGGCGAGCAGCTCCACGAGAAAGCCACCCTCGCTCTCTGACCCACTGCAAGGCCATCCTGCCTCTCCCCGTATGGGTCTGGGACCTCAGAATCCCACCCCAAACAAGCTCAGTGGATTTGAGAGTTTGTAACCCCTTTCAATTGAAAAAAACCACGCATCCAGTTGCAGCCCGCCTGGCACGCAACTCCGTACCTCTGTTCTTGGTGCCTCTGCATATCCTACTCAGTCTCAATGCGCTTCTTTCTTTCCTTCCAGTTGTACAAATTCCACTGGGCCTGCTTTCCCATGGTTCTGAATGATAGCTGTTTTGTCTTATAGTTGGTATTTTCAATGTTGTTGTGGGAGGCAGCATGCACAGGTTCAAATTCTGTGTTATTCACTCAAAAGCATCCGAGCCCCTGCAGGTGTGCGGTGGAGCTGACTTCGCTCGGCACTGCAATTCCTTAGCCTCCAGGAGCACGCCTCTCCACACCCCAACCCCTCTCCCCACCCTGCTTCCATCCGATCCTGAACTGAGTGACAGGAGATGAAATGCAGAAAGGGGCACAGCTCGCGCAAGGAGAGGCTTCCGCACACCAGGCTCCTTCCAAGTGCGGTCGAGGACCGGCACCTTGGCATCACCTGCACGCTGGTGAGAAACGCTGGTTCTGACCAGTTGAGCAGAGTGGGAAGCTGATCTGCAGCCCCCATGTTTGGACGGTCCCTCGCCCACCCGGATGAAATCTGGTGGGAGCCGGGAGGCACCTTCCACACACGCCGTTGAGTGTGGGCAGCAGCGGTGTCTGCCCTACATTCTTTCTTTAAAAAAATCAATGGAAAGTATATCCTGGTGAAGATTAACAAAAGAAGAATGAGTTCAAGTGAAATCTCATTGAAAGCAAAAGCAAGTTTTATTCAAGTAGAAATAGAGTCCTAGCCAGTTTGGTTCAGTGGATAGAGCATTGGCCTGTAGACTAAAGGGTCCCAGATTTGATTCCGGTCAAGGGCAAATGCCCGGGTTGTAAGCTTGGTCCCGAGTAGGGGGCATGCAGGAGGCACCTGATCAATGATTCTCTCTCATCATTGATGTTTCTATGTTTCTCTCTCCCTCTTTATTCCTCTCTGAAATCAATTAAAAATATATATATATATATATTTTTTTTTTTTTAAAGAAAGAGGCTAGGATGTGGATAACTGGAGATAGGATTAAAGGTGGTGCCCCCTGCTGCTCCCCTGGTTGCAAGTCTCACAGGGCACCACTATGAAAGAAGCAAAAGTACACATCTGAATGTGTTGAACTCACAAGTGAGTTGTGCACTGCGTCAGTAAATTCTTAGTATTTTATGTGTTTCCAAGGATAGTTTATTTCTGAACTTAGTGATGCCAAATTCTGGCCCCACCTTCCGGTTGGGAGGGGCCTTTTCCCTAATATGGTTCATTCAGTAAGTGTCATGAGGTTCACTCTCCTCAGCCTCCCTTCTACTTGTGGTGTCAGTTTTCATTATAATAATGGTATAATGAGCTTTGGGGTCTTTCTCATTATAATGGTGTCAGTTTTCATTATAATCTACACTAATAATAGACAAATATGTAAATTGACCATACTTCCACGACCCCACAGCCAATCAGGAGGGAATATGCAAATTAGCAGAACAAAGTTGGCAGCAGCCACGGAGCCAGCTGGAGTGGGCAGAAAGCTTGGGTCGCCCCCGGCAATGGAGGAAGACAAGCTTCCTGCCCGCCTGGGCTGGCCGCTGAAGGAGGGGCCTGTGGATGGCAGCCACGGAGCCAGCCTGAGTGCACGGGAGGCTTGGTTCACCCAGGCTGGCCGCTGCCTGGGCTGGCCGCTGAAGGAGGGGCCTGTGGGCGACAGCCACAGAGCAGGCCGGGGCGAGCGGGAGGCTTGGGTCGCCCCAGTGATGGGAGAAGCTTGGCTTTCTCTGTTGCCAGGGGCGACCCAAGCTTTCCACCTGCCCTGGCCAGCTACTGAAGGAGGAGCCTGTGGATGGCAGCCACGGAGCCAGCCTGAGTGCACGGGAGGCTTGGTTCACCCAGGCTGGCCGCTGAGGGAGGGGCCTGCAAACGGCCCTCAGCCCCTCACCCAGGCTGGCCACACACCCCCAGTGGGGACCCTCATCCCATGGGGGCATGGATGGCCTGCAAACAGCCCCAGCCCCTCACACAGGCCAGCACCATCCCCAGTGGGAACCCCCACCCCAATGGGGGCATGACTGGCCTGAAATCCACCACAGGCTGCTCGCCCAAGCCGCCCCTCACCTCAAGGGAACCCTCACCCTGAGCCGGGACACCCTTCAGGGAAAACCAGCTGGCCCCAGCCTGTGCACCAGGCCTCTATCTGTACTGATAAAAGGGTAATATGCTAATTAGACTGAGAGACCTTCCAGACATTCTGGACAAAGCCATGGTGGCAGGGCTGAGGTAGAGGCGGTTAGAGGCCATG